GATGACTTAAAAGGTTCATTTTGGTAATGATCGGTTTGTTAGGCAAAGTGAAAAACTTTTTGCTTTATGTTTTTGGGCTTTCCAGTGGGTTCTTTCAATTGTTGTTTAGTTTTGGCTTGTTAAGTTTTTATGATAATTGGTTTTCTTTATTTTAGGAGTTTGGCCCTCTATTGGCAGATTTTCATGTCTCCTTTTGTATTTCTCTTGAGAAAAGATTTAACCAAGCTAAACTTTTACCAATTATAATCTTTGTGGGATGTAGACAAGAGCTGTAATCTGAGTATAATTGCTTTTTACTGCAAAGGAAAGTTCATGTTTCTTTTTTATGAGATAAATGAATCTTTTTTGGTTAAAACTCTTTGATCTCTTTGATTTCTCTTCAGTTTTAACTCAACAAGAAAAAAGAAAAAACTAAACATTTACCCAAGTAGTTTGCCTAATTGCTTTTTTTTTCTAGCTTTAAATCTTTTCTAGTTGCCATGATAACTAAAGGAACTGAAGGGTGAAAGCTACAAATTCAGACTTTCAATCCACTTTGGGGCTGGGATTGGTTCTATTTGCATGTTTTCAAAATTATTGGTTTAGAAAAAATAGTTTAGAAAAATAAGAAGATTAAAAATTGCAGCCATACTCAATTGATTGGATGACTGCAATTTTGTAACTTTACTTCTCATGGTGCTTGGAGATGTAAAGACTCATTTTGCTAATGTTGTCAATATAATAATTGAAATTTTGTGGTCAATCACCAAAATTGTGGTATTTTTTGGCCAAAAAAAAAAAACAAGATTTGTTTTCAGTTTTGTTGCCCTTTTTGTAGCTTTCCGAAATGAATCCTTTTAATTGTAGGGTGGTCTTTTTGGGGAAAAAATATTACGCTCGGACAATGGACATGATACACCAGACGAAGCGGAGGAAAAAAAAAAAACAGCCCCTGGTGTATTGCATCCGTTGTCCGGACGTAACTTTCGTCCAGAGTGTCCGGACTCCGGACGCAATATTTTTTATTTTTTTGGGCAGCTTTTTTCTCAAACTTTCACTCTATTGTTTTACTATAATTTTCTTATTGGTTTTTATAATTTATTTTAAGTAGATCTATTAGAGTGTAAAATATTTGGTTTACTTCTTGGAGTGTAAAATATATGAAAAAATAAATATATTACTTGTAGCAATAAAATACTTCCACTCAATTCGTGATTGATCTGATCTTTCAGCGAAACTCAATTGGGGACCAATTATTCTCAACCGCACTTTGTTCATGGTTTTTTCAATGCCTTTGCTTATTGAAACTATTAAAACGAAGCAAATTTTAGACACATACAACTCAATTCCTATGCTTTGCTTATTGAAACTATTAAAACAAAGCAAATTTTAGACACATACAACTCAATTCCTATGTATTTACAATGGGTCTACAAAAGGAAACCAGCAGTATACTCATACAACTCAACGATGTTCAAGGCTCGACTGGTTGCAAAGGGATTTTCACAACAGAAGGGGATAGATTATGATGAAATCTTTTCTCCTGTGGTCAGACATACTTCAATCAGGGCAGTGCTTTCATTAGTAGCTATTTGGGATTTGCATTTGGAGCAGATGGATGTTAAAACTGCTTTCTTGCATGGTGATTTGGAGGAGCAGATTTACATGAAGCAGCCAGAAGGGTTCACTCAACCTGGACAGGAGCATCTGGTTTGCAGGTTAAAGAAATCGTTGTATGGGTTGAAACAGTCTCCAAGACAATGGTACAAGCGATTTGACTCCTACATGATGCAGATTGGCTACAGACGATGTGAGTATGATTGTTGTGTTTATGTGAAAAGTCTTGATGATGGTTCTATTATTTTTCTGTTACTGTATGTTGATGATATACTGATTGCTGCAAAAAATATGAATGATGTCCGTGGTTTGAAAGCTTTATTAAGCCAGGAATTTGACATGAAAGACTTGGGTCCTACGAAGAGGATTCTTGGAATGGAGATTCATCGAGACAGAGGCTCAAGACGATTATGT